CCCCCGCTCATAGGAGACTGCGTATTACAGTTGATTATAGTTCCTGGGCTCCCTGTGGGTAAACGAAATGCGGAAGAGATTTACAGTAGTTGTAGTGCGATCGTTTGGCTTTGATTTTGATGGGAAAACGGCATGATTTTTTTTTTAAATCAAGAAATTAGTTGTTTTCGAAAGATAAGCTGAGCATTGAAGAAGAATTTAACACTTTTGATGATAATAACAGCTCATTGTCGAAACGCAGTTTACCCATTCACGCTACCCACAATATACCTGTACTCTGGAATAAGCGTCAATGACTAAATTAGACTCTAGTCTAAGCGTCAGGAATCATTGAAATGTTCGAAAAATTATGCCTTAATTTAAAATTAAATGGTATATCTTTTTCTGAAATATGTGGTGGCTGTTTGGTTTGTGAAAGTTTGGGGTGCGGCTTATATTGCAGACTTTTTCCAGGGATCAAAACTTGTCAATTTCAACATGAAACAATGTCCCAAGTTGCGGTGCGGCTTCTATTAAAGCTGTGGCCTCAAATATGATTTTTACGGTAATTACCAAATCCAATATTTAGCGTGAATGCCTTTCTGAGCAAAAAATTGTCGAGGTCAAAACAAAAAAGATATAGGGTGATATATTTCATTGATTCGACCCAGTGGTGACATCTTATTTATTAGTAGCGCCCGGGAACCAAAATTTGGGATGTCAATGACTTGGACGACAATATAACTAAGAGGTGAGCGACTACTTACCATGGCGGTGAGCGACGGTGATTTGCGACCCCAATAATATTTTAATTTTAGTAAGCCAGGGTAAAACCGTTTCAGATCTTGAACGTTCTTTAGTGCAAATACATTGATTGCCTAGCATGGCGAACGCAATATAATGCTATATAATGCGAGTGAATTTCCCTGCTGAGGTTTAAATATTGTACATGTAGTTGTATGTGATGTCCAATATGCAAATTTGCTTTGGTTGGAAATTTGTTCAAGTTCTCTCGGCGATAGCTACGTGAATTTTTGTTATGAGTAAGACTCAGAATGCAACAGTGACAGCCACTAAAACATAATTGAAGGCCAATGAACACGTCAAGCAAAAAAAACTTTTTCGAGTCGTGGCGTAAAATGGAGGCATATACCATTTTGACTCTTGAGGGGAATGGAAATCAGTTGATTTGAGGGTACGTGTCACAATAAGCGAGGGAGCAAATTGTTTTTATGCTACGAAAAAATGCAGACCTTGAACGTACTTTTTGGACTTTAGTACTACGTCATTTTTGTTTGATTACCTAACGTTTTTAGGTTCATGTGCTGCAAGTTACAGAGCACATACTAGTACCTAAGCGATCTTCCCTCAGCAAATAATGAAGCAAAGGCATTTTCGATGTAGAAATCGCGAAACTCCCCCTTTTTACGCAAACTGAGAAGTTCGAATTACTAAACGAAGTACAGAACGACGAAGATGAAATATCCAAAAACTAACACATACCAAAAATTATATCTCAAAAGTGAATATTTGTGGAGTATTTTAAGTCTAACCGGACCGGAAGTGGGAATTTGTCCAAACATATTTTAGTATAAGGTAGTAACCAGCAGGATATAGAATTTCCACACTGCTGTATGTTAAGACAATGCGTAACCAGGTATCCATAACAAATAATAATAGAAGTTGGATTTTGTAAAAAATAAAAAAAATAATGTAAACATAAGAAATTTGGATTGTAAAAAAAATTCTAATGGTCCATCCCTTCGTGACCTCATTGCTGTACTTTCTGAAGATATAGTGTGTCAATACAGCTACAGAAAATGGCGGAACGCGGTCTGAATTTAAAGCGGTCTACATCGGTGGCGGCGACGAGATTCAGATCGACGACGTGAAAGCCGGAAAGTTCAGTTATATATTCGGCAACCCCGAAGGTTTCCTCAGGCTTGGGTCAGGGAGCAACGCAGCCTATATTTCTCCACCAATCCAATCCTGTTATATGTAAATTACGCGATCTGTGACGTCATTGAAATGCTCATTAATATTAATAGCGAGGGAATCTCTGCAAGGGTATACCTGGCCTTCGCGGTAACTTACATAATATTTTATTGAAAAAAAACACAACAGAGGAGGCTGTTTGCAGGTCTGTCATTAGCGCCCAAACCTACCCTGCGATCTTGACTCCGCGCAAGCGCATTGTACAGATCACGGTCAGTTAAATTGGGTCAGTTTACCTCCATGGTTTACCTTAACCTGACGATTGAATGACTTGTTGTCATGTGAGAAAACCCGTGCCTTTGAGATGTCATGTGACCGTTGTTACGGCATATAAAGCGAACGTACAACGGCCGATATCAAATCAGTCAGGGTAGCCTGCTGGTAAACGCGGCACACTGCTAATAACAGACAAACTGAGTCGATCGTCGTCACTCACTGCAAACATGGGTGGATCATTGCGGCAACAAACAAAATGGCTCGTCTATCGCAACTTTCTGCTTAAAAAGAGGATGTATAAGCTAACTATACAAGTAAGTTCAACGTCATGGTGTTCGTGACTGCGTTTACTTGTGTATGGTCAAGTTCCATTGTAGATGTGTCATTGTGAATGGGTTTCGCGTTAACACCACGACGAACAAAATAACCGACAGCGAAACCAAGCGAGCTACAGAACTGCAGCTAGAATGGCCTGGGATTTTTACAATATTTTAGCAGCTCCTATTGCATGGCTAGGCTAGTCTAGTCTATAATAGGATATTTTAAAAATACAGGTTGCGTAAGTCCAATAAACAGGAATATATAAAATTTACCGAAGCTAAATGGCTGCGCTATGCAACACTTGGCTTTAAGGCAATGGAGATAATGTATAAAAAAAATCATCTTTTATTTAGTAATGTTAAATGAAACTTTTAAAACTAGTTAGAACAAATATTTTTGTTTGGCATCTCTAATTTTGATAAATATTTTTATCATTTATGGTAAAAAGTGCTATTTTCGGTTTCTTTTCAAAAATGGCAAGCCCCATTGCTTCAATATTTAATATGTATATACCTGGGTATATTTATTAAGTCACATTTGTTCTCTAATTTTAGTGAATACTTTTGTCAAAAGTAACTAGATTATTTTTTAAATTTTTACTTACTAAGGGCACACCTAACTTCACTATGCTGTATTGAGCATGTTCTCTGGATTTTACTTATATTTATTAGCAAAAATAGTAAAATTAAAACCAAGTGAATAATTAACTCATTTACTATAATTAATATTATTATCTTTATTTTATTTTGTTAAGTTTCTGGAGAAAACAATAAAACATATGTATGTGGATTTCTGCCTATGAAAGTAACATGAATATTCATGCATATATGTTCTTCTCATTGTCTGTTTTTATAGGAGGTGCTGTTACCAGTTTACTTTATCGTCATACTTGCTTTAACTCGTATGGGTATAAGACCAACAACTAATGAAGCTGTCCCATATTTCCCTCCCCATGACTTGATGAATACATCGGCATTCCTGCCTGACACTACGTTGGCTCTGGCAGCATCGCCTAACAGCACTGATGTAGAAAAAGTAATGGACCAAATTAGTGCCATGTTAAATATGGAGTACATCATGTTTGAAGATGAGGAATCTATGCTGGCTAAATATGCTAACAATGCGTCATTGTTTTCTGTTGGTATTATCTTCAATAGCGACTTATCCCAAAACCATACTTATGCGATTAGAACACCATTTGAGATGTTACCATCAAATCTAGATCTGTATAACCATAACAATCAAGGTGAGAGATACTGGATACTGTGGAATACTTTATTTGCGCTGGAATTAATTTTCGCTGGAAAGGCATTTTGGGCATTTTGCTTGGAATTTATTTTCACTGATTTTTGATGAGATTAATGTAAAATATAGGAAAAAATGTATATTCGCTGGATCTTATTTTTACGGAATCATCCCTTCAGCGAGAATAGCGAAAATAAATTCCAAGCGAAAATAAAGTATTCTACAGTAACTGATTTTTTTAATACTAGGCATTTCTTTTTCATTTACTTTCTAAGCTTGATATGAAAGTGCTGTGGAATTGACTGTTTTCTTTTATATATCTTTCACAAAACATTGGATAACTCTGTTATAATGAATGTGCAGCAGAATTATCGGTTCTCACATCCCTTTAGTATGTTCTGTATTTACATCTGTTATGATTGAATTATTTTCTCTGCAGGCAATGAAAAACGTGTTATTTTAGCTAATTTAGCTAATCTGTAATTTCGCTAATTGAAGACGTCGCTAATTTAAAATAAAGCATATTCTCACAATAAGATTGTTGGCACTTTAGCTAAATTAAAGATTCTGAGTCCAATTCTCTCAAACAACATGCGTAGCATGTTTTTCAGTGCTAAATTAACGTATTTCATTACAGGGTGTAGACAACCAGATGGATTGGGTACATGTCCTGCACATCAATATTTGTACACTGGGATTGCCGCATTACAAACAGTGATAGACCATTCACTTATAACAGTAAGTTAATTGACATTTACTTACTATATACATGTACTTTATTATGAATTAATGAGACACACATATGCCAGATATTTACATGATAGCCAATCTGATTATAACAAGATCTAGGATCTTTGTCTTTTTTAAACATTTTTTCATATACATACAACTCAATTTTATTATTTTATTTTATTTAATTGTTGGTAGTTTGAGGTTTTTAATAAAAAACATAACAAATAATAAAAAAGCCAAAATAAAATAAATATATAAAATAAAATAACATAAAATAAACACCGTTTAAAACATCATCTGTTAGTCAGATTGCTGTAAAATAATTTTTTTGGTCAAAATTCTAGTGTTGCCATATACCATGGTATTAACAAGAGTGGATAAATGTCAAATATACTAAAACCTGTATATATAGTCTTGACCTTGAGTTGGTAATAAAGACATATATTTAATCTCCATAAGTGACAGCTGTAATTTTACTCAGTTCTGGGATTCATACACCAAGCATTATGATCATATTTAATAATAAGGTTAACATTATTATGAAGATATAGAAAATTATCTTAGAAAATGGAACTTAGTCTCATTTGTCATATAATTGAATTTAATCATAGTGTAAAGTTTATTATGATGCCCTGTAGTAAAAGTGCACAGCCTTGACAGTTTAATAAGTCACTTTTTAAAATAAACCCAATCAAAGTAAACTTCTGAGTGCAATATATATCTTGGCAATTCCATGCAGTGCAATAAATATGTCCCCATATTAAACGATTTGTCAAATACTTGAACTTATTTTTGCTGTGTGGTCCGCACTATTAATTGCCTGCCTGTAATCAAATGAAAAGTATTGAGGTTAACATGTTAATCAATCATGGTCTGTCATGTGTTGTTCATGCTCTCATCACTTATCATTTGTTGTCCATCCTCTTATCAATTATCTTTTGTTGTCCGTCCTCTTTAACAATTACTTGTTTTTTAAAAATTTTTCCAAACTTATGTATCAATCAATTATCAATCAATGTATAATCTTAGTGCAGTTGAATGTTAAAAGGCGTTGGTCATCACGCTGCACATGTGCAACATTTTTGTTGATAAACATTGATTTTTCCACAATCCAATTCTAATGGAAATCACAAGTATGAAGTTTGACCTGGGTGCGACATGCAATCACAATTAGATGCATAAAATCCTTAGGAAAGGATAAAAAGGGTCTTACAAAAAGAAAATTAAAATTTATAAACTAAAAAAAAAAGTATATGTAGAGGCTGTGAGAATTTTTTATTAAATATGCATCTACACATTAAATAACACGAAGAACATGCAAAACAGTTAATCGTGCATGTTAGCTATTTACTAGTATAGCTATGATTGCATATGACATACTAATGCCAGTGGTTTGCTAAAATACTAGTTGACTGAAACTTGGTACATGCATAATGTGTGTTTAGTTCAATCTCAAAAATCATGTGACATTGATCTCTATGTAATATGCCAAACTCATCAACATGTTTTTATTTATATCCCAATAGTTTGACCAAAATTATCTTTCAACTATAAGGCCATCACTGATTGGTCAATATTCTTCGTGTAATGAGGTGTTTGTTTATGCAAAGGATTTTCCATGACAAATGCAATGAAATTTTGTTAGTTGTTGGTGTTTTTCTGTGAAAGTTTGGCTTCCCTCATATAGCATATATAGTATATTGGTAAATTCATCGCTTTCTTTTAATTGTCATTTGTAGTATTCAAATATTTGTTTTACTCAGTTGTATAAAATCATTTTGCGCATGGCTATAACCTAACTCGCTGAGATAACAGTACAAGTAATCTTGTACTGTAGGTATAATTCAAATGATCTTTATTGTAGTTCAAGGCCTACAAGTTAAAGTTCTTAAAACATCTCAATAAATCATATTTCTGTGTTTTAAGTTGTTTGCATTCAAGGTCAAACCCAGGCGGTTGCCTTAAGCCAGTTTGCTTGCGTGTCCCAAATTGTTTCAACATACCACATTTATCTGCAGTTTGTTTTACATACTTTATAAAAGAGATTAACAAAATCAAAATTTTGTACTGTATACATTTTATATGTACTACTGTGAAATACTTTGTTTACGCTGGAATTAATTTTCGCTGAAAAGGATTTTTGGTTGTTTTGTATGGAATTTATTTTTACTGATTTTTGATGAGTTTAATGTGAAATATAGGAAAAAAAGTATATTCACTGGATTTTATTTTCACGGAGTCATCCACTCAGCGAAAATAGCGATAATTAATTCCAAGCGAAAATAAAGTATTCTACAGTATATCATATTTGTTCCTACAATTGTGTTCTTCGCATCATGAGTTTACTGATTCTAATGAATCAATATATTCAATGACAGTTAACTGCCTTCACTCGTCTCTTTCACTTAGAGTGAGTGTGTTAAATCATTATATTCATATGTATCTTTGTAAGTTATCTAATCACATTAGAAACCTCACTGAGAATTGTAGGTTCAATTTCCTTTTTGGTGATGCATTATGGAATATAAATGAGAATGTGGGAAATACCTCATCAGCTTTTATAATTGGGAAATATGTAACTAATTTATGGCAATATAGAAAAGAAATGATGAATGTAGTATAAT